GCTCAGCGCCGGCGATCCAATCATAAACTATTGGTGTGTCGACTATAAATGCTGCACTTTTCGCATCCTCCTCGAGGTATGGACGGAAGACAGGGGCACAGCGAAACGACAGAAGTGGTTCAGCACTTCGTGTGGGCAAGATAAACTGTCCGCCAGGGGGCACCACAGACTGATTTGCCATATAGTTCTTTCCGCACCTAGAAATATTAAGGAATAAAGAGCAGGGCGCATAATCGAAATCATACGTACCATGTCTGAGCGAGTGAGCCTCGAACCAGGCTGGCGGCGGCAACCATGGCCATGAAGCCTTTGTTGTACCTCATTTTGCGTCTCTTCTCAGGCTGGTGGGAGATTTGCCGATAAGATTGAAGGAATGTGATGGTGTGGGGATGCCACTGGCCAGATCATTGCAACTTATACGACGTCCTAGCTGTCCACTAAGGTCACCGTAAGCAACAGGCTGCGCAGCAGGCTCTGCGTTTAGACCACTATTACTAGTGTACTTACGGTATCATTATCCCCATAGCTGTGAATCGCGATACTTCAGTCCGGTTAAGACGGTTCTAGCGTTCAAAATCGCCTAGTCTCTGGTATGAGCGCTATGCTGACTCGGAGGTAACGTGCACATTGTAGACCTGAAGGGGCAAGCGCAAATAGCTGATTTGAAACAAGCAGTGCAACGTTGGTGTGACGATATCAAATGAAAATCAACTAGTGCCAGTGTGATATGCATTTAGCGAAAATAAAGAGGCACACGCGATTGAGGCCTTGGTAAGCTTAGAGCGCTCGGCGCTCCGAGAGCTTCAAGAGTGGGTGACGTTGCTACAAATGCGCTGCACAACACGACGTGGTGGCAGTGACCAGTCGTAGACAACTCCTTGTCAGTCGGGATGCGTTGTAAGACGGTGTGGGCACTTGGGAGAAGTCGCGAACGGCTATGATGGTGCATGCTCCCCAGAAAGATCATGAACGGCTATTCCTGCCCGCGTTTCAGACTCATGTTTAGACACTATAGCAGGGGTAATATTGCAACCCTAGTGGATATCGTACTTGGAAGCCATCACCAGGGCTCTTGAACTTGAAAGTACCACAGTAAGTAATAAACTCTGAGAAATTAGAATAGTCCACGGTCGAACGGACACGATCATGTCACGCATTACAATTGCATAGAACTATCCGTTAAGATAATAATTTAATGGCGAGAGTCCGTCACGGTGCATGCTTGGGTGTCGAGTAAGCTGTGGCGGTAGAGTCTACGCTTCTTAGTGACATCGCGACCCCTACCAGATATCTTGCGATGCATTCAATCATGTCAAGCATGTCACGCATAGGTCTTTGAATAGTTCTTCACTGCGTTCGTTGACGGATGATGACATTCTGCGTTACATTAGCAACGAACCGTGACTCAGAGCACCCCGAGACTGGGAAGCTGGGGTGAAGAGTTCCGACGCGCGCGAATCTGGTGGACTGTTTGAGTGGGCGCATCTGGCTTATGCTCGCAGCAAGGACATGAACCATACTGGACTGACATCGACTCTGTCGGTGAACTTCGCCAAGAGAGGGCTACAGACACCAAACCTGTCGGATGATGTTTCAGCAATTGAGAACACGCGCGTTACGTATTGGAGTCCCGCACGTGTACCGGAAAAACATCGACTGTAAGTTTTATCGATGACGGAGTCGGTGTAGACCATTTACATGCTTACCTTGACATGAAAGATAATCCAAGATTGATTCCAATCTACTGCCCCATGTCAGTCCAAGATGCTGCAGCAACGAAACAATCATGACGCACTTCATGGGGCAAGATATTTGTTGCTAAGAGAAGTGTAGGCGCCAGATACGGAAAATGTGTTCGGAGAGGTCCTGCAGAAGTTCTAGTTTTTAAGCTTGAAGATCAAAGTAGAAAGACTCGGTCCGTGTTCAAGTGGGAGATGTCCCCATAGTGGAACTCAAGTACACCGAAGCGGTATCAAAGCTGTCCCGATGCTATATGCTGCATCACGGCCGCGCACGCGCACGAACACATTGAAGCGATTATGGGTAATGGTCCGTCATGAAATCTTGCTACCCTCAGGGTACCATAGAAATGGGCTGCTGAGTGACAGGTGTACAGAGGTATAGGTCTCGAGGCATGGTCCTATATCTGTGTAAGGAACCGCGTACTAGTTAGCGAACTACATGAAAATTTTCGCAATTCCACAGCCAACGAGTGGCGTGGGTTGCTTCGTTGATTATTTGCTACATCCAAGCACGACTATGGCATCGAACACAGTGGTGACCTGAGACGATACATTTTCTCTCCTAGTGGATACGGTGATCGTGGAAATTAGGTATTGCATCTTGCAGCAGAGTAAGAATCATCCCTGTCGAGTAGCATGCATCAAGCCACGTATACCAACATCACGAGAAAAATTACTGGCGCGTGTGTGATTATTCGATCACTTCAATGACAGTCGCCAGTCGACTCCAAAGCAGGGACGCAGGATGCACTTGCTACCGGAGAGACCAAGGAAGCTGTTCATTGGTCGACTAGACCAACGAAGAACAAGATGGCATTCGACACTCGACGTTTTGAACACGTCGGACAAGTGCATCGTAGGCAGCAAGCACACAATTGTTTATTGGCTGTCTTGTAGCTGCATGACCGTGACTTGACCTTGTGACCCTTCGGGATTGGATTCGGAGTATAGCAGTAATCGCGACGCGCAGTAAGACTCGTATATGATAGCTGCGAATGCAAGCGTCAGTCGAAGTCCAGCATATAGTAATTGAACATAATAATCCTGCCTTTGGCTGGCCCACACGGGCACTTCATGAAGATATATAATATCAATCCTACGCGTCCGCAGTGGTTCCCTACGTCGGAAGGATGAGTATCTTGGATTTCAAGAACAAACGACGCACGTACCTTCATCAGTTCATACTTCGTGTACCTACCCGAACTAGTAGCCACAGCTGCTTGTGCTTCCTTTGTATACTGACAGGCCTAGAAATTATATTTCTGCGGTTGCATACGTCGGAAGTTCTGGCAGTTCAACCAGCTCGACCCACTCGCCCGTAACCCGCGATATAAAAATTAGCCAGCCCAGAGTGATCGTCAATATCTGCACTATTGCGACAACCTACAATCCATATCAAGGGCGGTTACCAGGATCAGTCAAAGTTATAGCATAGAGTAGAGTACTGACTTGTCCGAGGTGGAAACATCCAAAAAAGAGCACCGACCCGCTTGATGCTGACCAAGGACCAGGTGAAGGAGGCGCCAGAAAATCCGCAAGGCCACGATGAGCTGTCCTGACGTTTAAATGCCGTGCGGGTGGATTCGGGTCTCTTCAATTTATTTGAACTTGGCACGGCTGGAGACTAGCGGCTGCATGCAACGACGGATAAAAACATTTGTCGATGATAACAATTGATTAACAATATTGTTAGCGACTTTCCGAGTAAAGAGAAGAAAACGAGTGTAATTTTTAGACCCCGAAATTTGAATATCGAGGGCTCGTGTTCGAAGGAGCGGATAGAGCTAAAAACTGAAAATTGAACAGTGGCGAGCGGAGTTGTGGAATCCCCCACTTCAATTTCAGAATACTTAGTACACAAACCCAGCGCCCACCCAAACCACACCTGTCCTGCAAATAAAATTCGGCTTAGCTTCAAACCACTCTAGCGCACCGCAGAAGGGCGGGCAGCTCGCAATTTAATATGTTGAATTGCAAATCTTGACGAATGACACGAGTGACTTTGGTGGCCCCCTTACGCACCCATGATGTACCTCTCGCACAACGGAGATTTGGAGACACCTGGAACATTGGGATGTAATACTCGGTCGAATGTCAAGTTAGATGGCCACAGTTAACGATCGTCAACTATATCGACAAAGGACTGGACTTTGCGACGGTGGAAATTTGCTGTTTTTCGATCAACATCGATGGAGCTGGGGGTCTCCAGGGTTTCTCCACTTCGACCACTGATGCGGCATTTCTTCTCATGTTAAAACATCGGACTGGATATTCTTTCCCCCCGGATACGCTGAAAAGTTGAGCAGCTTACGATGGATTAGATCGCCCAGCTGGATTGATAGTGAGTGTCTTGTTCACTCCAACCATGTTTTGTTGCTGGGCCCTGGGCGTATCACTACTGGAGTGGCAATCATTGCTACTGTTCATGTTAATTGCCACCGTTGATGTCGACCCTTGAAGGCAGTTGTGCCAATGGAGATTTGGCAGGGCGATCTTGATGCAGCCATAGTGATGATCTTGACTCACACGAATGTTGCTATTATAATCTTGAGAGCACACTGCTGAGTTGCTTTCACGGATTCTGATGGCGCTTGCGAACTTGCCTTAAGATGGCTCGTGCACGCGAACCTGCTTGATGCCCCTTTTTGTGTCACGCTGTGCGTCACACTCCTATGTCACGCTATCCTTGGCTTGCGGCCATGGGGCATGTCGACGGTGCTCAGGGTGGTTTCCAGCAAATTGCAGAGAGTGTTTATTATCAGTATATTGTTATATATTTCGCATCAACACACCGAGAGCTCTTCGGGACAGAGTTCATGTACCCAAATATCGTATATTGACTGTCATTTTCCAGCTTGGGATCATCTGAGGTGTCTGGCCATCCAGCATTCTTATGATGTCGCGCAGAATACAAGGAGCTGAATAGGCCACCGAGCTTGATAGCGTGTCAAGGTCGCATGTAGAGGTCCTAGAACATTGGTTCGTCGATGTGATGGGACAACCAGCAACCCATCTTGCGGCTCCTGTGCCTCGCGTTTCGCGTTATTCATGGCTGGCTCTGGATCCTCGACTATGATCATGCCTAGAAAACTGGTCCAGCGGAAGCAAATTTTGTACCAACATCGAGGACACACGAGTGCCAAACTGGCAAGGCACCACTTACAAATATACTAACTTCGTTGCACCCAGCCCTGCACCTCTTCTTTCGCGCTATCGGGAGTAAATTTTGGATCCAGCTATTGTCAAATGATGTTACATCGAGAATTGGTTCTGCTGGGGTAATATGAGGGTGTGTGCAAACCGTGCAGGGACAGGCGCCTGCACTTATTTGGCATTAACTCGGCACAGGAAATTTTGCTAGTGCCCGCCTCACAATTTATTATTTTACGTCCCCAACCGTCTGCTGGTATTAAAATGCCAATACCTGGTCCTTGCGCAAACCACATCCCTTTCCCCTCACTTTCTTTCGTTCAAGATAATTTTTGACCATCAAAATGAGATTGCCTTCGTATAGGTCCTCTCACATGCTTCGCTACCATCCTTACCCTCGGGTCGGCCTGAGCCAACGTGAGATGTTAACGGTAAGCCATTACGAACGTCCATTCAGCGCTATTGTTAACTTGTATTTTCAGCACACCATTGAGGAAAGTGGCCCTTTGTTGGTGAGTCATGCGATCTTCGGCATTCAATGCTATTTTTGAACATGTACATCGCGAAGCAAATCAACAACCCACTCAGCGGCCACAACATTGAATATGAGGACACCTCAAATGCTCTCGATCTCGCACGTTGTCTCTCTGCACTTTCTTGTAGCCTTACTTACTCTTTAAGCACAGCCTGGTAATGAGGAGCAAGTGGAAAATGCCCCGAACCCCCCAGAGGTGGTCGAGGTCCCAGAGGCAGGCGATGAACTTCGTGATAGGCATCGGAAACTGACGGCACTTCTCATCGTACGTTAGCAAGTGTTCTTTTATTCACATCTCCTAACCCACGTTGTGTCAAAGGTCATTTTATTATTTGTGGTAAGGAAACTCGCTGTCATCGCCCAATAGTCGCGCCGCGTTTCACATTATGCCCGGTTCATATTTTCATCTGACATTTATCGGCTCCCTGTCAACTTGTATATCACCACATGCACAAATGTAACATACACTTGCTTTGGTCTTTCTTTTTTTACTCGAACATGATTCACATCGTTGCTAATACCATCATTCTTGTAGTTATCACCTCATCTCAATATATCTGTACTATACCGTCTTCCCATGCTGAAAAGGTTTCTACAATAACAGACAACATTCTGATCCTTCGTCCCTCCAAAGTGTATTGAATTGTAATTGTTGATATGACACTGGCTTAGCCTTCGCCTAACAATTATCCCAGCTGAGTTTCAAAAATATAACCATGCAAGTCGGTGTCTCTGCTGGATTTGGTAATATTTTGCCACGTCCCCAGGGACGACCACCAATTGTGAGTGCTCGAACTCGTCACACTGTGGGCAAGTTCAAACTATTTTTGTGGTACAGCGGCATGCACAAGGACGGGAGGTTAACATTTTAACGTCAACCTTGATTGTTTTGGAAAATCAATGAGAGTTCCACTCCTTCGCCATTTAACACATGTGATATCCACACACTTGTTTGCAATAGTGCAACTTCAGTGTAGAAATTCTGGAAGGTCTCACTCATGGCTAGGCCTCGAGAAAGCAGGACAAAAAAATTATGCAGTGTAGGATTGATTTTTCTTTTGGTTTTGCCAATTCAATCACATTGCAACAGAGTGGTACAATTAGTGAGCCAACCTGGTGAAGAGGGGGCTTTATGCATGTGCCTCTTGATATTTGAAATCGCTTGTCAGTTTGGTTGGTTTGAAGTGTACGAATGGGCAATGCCACATAACCGCAGCATCAAGTTATGTCAACCTTGAACACAGTCTAACTTAGAAAAGCTTCAAGAAACATCGAGAATGCAATCATAAGGTACAGCGTCAGGAGGACTTTCACGAGGATTTAATTAGAACCCCGTCGCTGTCGCCCCTCCAAAGTCAGGAGGAAACCGTTCAGGCGGCATGCCCATCATCGGATCTCCTCTTGCTCCAGCAGCTGTCTTCGCTGCCACAGTGGAGTGCAAGCCCTCCAAGGTTTCTGTCCACCTCTCAAGTGCGGCATAACGCTTCTTCTCCAGTACGTGGCTGTGATTGAGTCGGTATGAAGTGCGTAAAAGGAAAACGACAGCGATCTTCTCACCTTTGATCGAGTTCAAGCCGCATGCCGACTTGGTCGATCCGACCATCAACCTTTCCCTCTAGAATGAGCCCAATAAGAAGCTCCTCGACCTCAGCGATTTCGACATTAAGTTGCTGAACAACTGTTAGCGCCAACGATAGTTGAAAAAAGAGCGAAAAAAATCACTTTGGCTAGGAACGAAAGCTCCAGTCTCGTGTAGGGCTTGATGAGGTCAATCAAGTAGGAGGTGCGCAGGCTGCGCAAAAGTTCACCAATATATGATCTAATGAATAAGTCATCCATAATCGTTGACCGATTATCTGCCACCACGTTGAGCACCATGGATTGGAACATGAAGGGACTTACCTCGTAAGATCTTCTCAGCCAGGTGAACTTCTCTGCGTTGATAGGCATCTACAAGGTCAGTCATTGCCTTGATCTGCGAGTCGTTCTTGTACGGCTTTGTCTCCTGGGAGTCGAACGGGTTAACTTCAGATCCAGTGAGCATGTTCGCGAGGACAAGATACTTGAGGACTTGGATGCGTTGCGGAGAGCCGGCTTCGTCATAGTTGCGGAAGGACTCAAAAAAGTCTTCTGATGCACGATTCCACTGTCCTGTATGATAGCGTTAGACATGAGTAAGGATCGGGGATGAACAAGAGTCACTTTCGCCCATCCACATCTTGCCTCCGCACTCCTTGATAACACCCATGATCCGTGGATGTGGAATTGCGGAGCGCACACTGTTGGATGCATTGTATATTTCCTACGTTCGACGACTTGATTAGTAGGTCTGAATGATTGAGTGGGATGCGAGGTTGTACTTTGAGCTTCTTGACATTACGCATCTCATTGTGCATTTGGATCTCGAGTGCATAGATCTCGAGGAGCTGTGTTCCCCGTTGCGACTGGTCTTCGCCATCCATGGCAGCCTTAGTCGTGGCGTGCAAGTCGCGGATGAGCTAGTCGGTAGAGACTGTTGAGACCATATATGCGAAGATAAATTATGAATACCTTCGTCAAACGCCCGTACTCTTTTCGATCTAGCCAAAGCTTTGCCAGTTTTAAGTTCGTCTTGACAGACAAACGCTAAAGAGAATATGAATGTCTCAAAAAGCGTATTGCACCATCACAGTACTCACGTCATTTTTCGCTTCCTCGAGCGCATCCTTGGTGACCTGGTAAAACTTTTCTAGTACATCTACCTCGACGGGACCACTCTTCCCACCGCCAACATAATCAAGGATGCCATTGATGGTCTTCTCAGAGTAATTTCGTGTGACTGCAGACTTGGTATAGGTGAGGAGTTGTATGTAGGTCTTCAAGGCATCTGCTGGTCGGTGCAGCTGTAGGAAGAGGAGTTTGGTAGATTGCTTCAGAGCCTTGAAGCCCCTGTGAAGTATCCGTTAGCATACAGTTTGATCAATAGATAGGGAAACTATACCAGTCGCCTTTATCTGTTTCCTGGTCCACTATAGCGCGAAAATCTTTTAGTGCTTCCTCTGGAGTATCTTCTTTCTTTGCTGGAAGAAGAAATGTATCAACAACTTCTGCTATACACCAGATTACTCACATTTTGCAGTATAGTACATGTTCTCTACATCAGCACTACCGGATTCGTTGGCCTCGTCTCCATCAGAGTAGTCGAAGCCGTAATCCTGTAAAATAGCTCGGAATCAGCATAACGCCCAAGGGGCTGATCTTGAAGGGAGTGTGACCTCATCATCACTGCCCTGCATATAATCGGCATCATCGTCATCCATCGTGAGCTTAAGTTATGAAAGAGATGCAGTAAGCGACGAAGTGATGGAGGTGTGCAACTTCGTGAGGAGGTGGCGCACTACACGCAAAGTCACAAGTCTTCTCCAGTAGTAGTGCTATCTAGTATCTAAGCAGCATCGAAAGGGCACAGCATTGTAATTTGAACGCGAACAAAAGTTACTGGAAGACGGATTCGGCTCATATAGTCGTATTCATATTCAGACAGTGTTATATTAATTCTCGCCAGAATCTTGGATAATTCCATGGGTAGGTTGGCCGTGAAGGGAGACGTGCAGGCATCACGGAGGATATAATCATGATGGACACAGAAACTGTGACTAAATGCTTAGCAAGTGAGGTGCAATATTTAGTTTCATGAACCAGCCGCCTTGTTCAGGGACAATAAGCTCTCACTTCCGAGGGGCTAGTAGCGAGACGCGAACGCAACATCGAGTAGCAACGTGCACAACGCCTGATAGCACTCTGAGCGCAAGTTACCTGACCTGTAGGATCCGGCAACTTCACAATTAAGACGTGATTTGTGCTCAGATGGATGGTGATAAATGCACAACGGAATCAGCTCACACCCAGGGTCGTGCTCCAGTGTTTCCACCAAAAAGGCAAGACTCGCCACACAAGACACGCCCACCGCATCGCCAAGGCCATATGATTGCCGATGCCGACCTCCACATAAGAATAGGGATGAACAAAGAGCTTTCCTTCGACATCAACGACGTCAGTTGCTTTCTCAAGACAAGTTTCGGCATGTCTGACAACGCGCCATGTGCAATGAATGCGTCGAGACCCGCTAAATTCATAACAAGGTCTCATATACCTGACCAAATTGCGAGTGCTCGTGGCCGGCCAGTATCTGGTATATCGCAAGACCTCAGCGAACAAAAGACTGATAGCATGCTCTACGTATGCGCCTCCTGATAACGATGGAAGCATCCCATGACTGTGCCTGCGAGATGATGCAATTAATATCTGCCTACATGAAAGGCAATGAACATACTCATGCCAGGGGCCTCTGGAATGCCCTCCATTCATTAGGCCAGCCGTTTTTCGGCGGTGTATCTGTTGGTATGCGGAGTTCTCTAGGAAACAAACCCCTCACTCTGGACTCAACAGCCCGCTTCTCTGGTTCAGACATACTCTTCATGGCCTCCACCTCAGCCAAGCTCCTTGCTCTTGGATCCTCTTGCTTATTTGCTTCCCTGAACAGCCTCGAGTCAATTTCTTCCAGTTCTTGCATTGCCTGCCTCATGCAATTAAATTTGCGCTGCAGCTCCGCGTCCCGTTTTTTGCGTAGGTGTCTCTGATGGAGGAGCCAAGCGCGCTCAATAGTCTCGTGCGCTTGCACAGAAGGTATCGCGCGCTGGAGAGCGCGCGCGACATCCGGGCGCCATGTACCGGTAGGAGAGGCTTTGTTGCGGATGTTCGGAGGGTACAAGTGACGGCGGATGATGTCTTTTTGTGGATCGGATGAAGACACTTCACCCTTGCGGGTCGAATAAAGCCGCGCGCCCAGTCCACGCAATTGGAACGGCAAGCCGTTCAATTTCAAAACTGAGACTGACATGACCTGCAGCGCGTGACAGTGAAAGCGAGTGAACAGTGAAACTGAGGTCAACAAATTTCATTATATTGTTCATTTTCCCACGGCTGCTTTACTTGAAATTCTCGAGAGCTGAAGCGCTGACAAGTGTGCTGATTGAACATGTCCTTTTCCCTTGGCCTGCTCTGTCGGCAATGTTGCCATTCAATTCTTAGTCCAGTAAGTACCTACTCGTATGAACTGTTCTCATCTGAATTTGCGCAGCGCCCAGCACTCGTTCGAGAGTTTTCTTCAACACCCATCTTAGCCCTACGACGAACGAAAAAGATTCCAGTACTCTCCAAGAAAGCCCTTGCAGCAAAGGCAAGAAAGCGCGCAGCGAAGGCTCGCAAACACATATATGAGAGTGAGAAGATGACTCTCGAAAGCGCTATTGACGTGATCCGTGTATGTTCCCCGAGCCTTATTACAACTCATTAACCAAAGATCTCGGTAGGCGGTTGAAGTTGCAAAAGCAAATGCTACATACGAGCTGGTAATCAAGACTGCCATGTCCCGTGGATCTATCATTCCAAAGGGTCGAATTGCTCTCCATCGTGAAACTAAAGCTCGCCCCGAAGACCGCATCCTTGTATTTGCCGAGGGCCGTCAGGCAGAAGAGGCAAAGAGTGCGGGTGCACACATCGTCGGTGGAATTGAGCTAGCAGATGGTATAATTAGCGGCAAACATCACGCAACCACCATTCTATGCTCCACAGCCCTCATCCGGACCATCACCCCAAAACTCGGACGTGTCCTCGGTCCGCGTGGTTTGATGCCTTCTGAGCGTCGAGGGACGGTTACAGATGATTTTGCCGGCTACTTGCGGCGACTTTCTGGTACTACAGAGTGGAAAGGCGACAAGAATGGCGTCATTCGGATGCCTATTGGCAAGGTCAGTATTTTTGCCCAGTCCGCGTCCGCTAGCTGCGGTCTACTATTTCTAAACATCTTTATTTACCGACAGCTCCACTTCCCGATAGAAGACATAGTTAAAAATGTCAAGCAATTCGTGACCGCTGTCAAACGGGTGACCGGGAACCAGAAAGATACCGAGGAGAAGGGAAAGAGCAAGAGTGTCAAGCCCGGTGAGTGTCTCTGGTACTTTGATCTCTTCTGGTATCGACTGAGCGACTACTAGTCAATGCCATCACACGTGTAATGTTGAGCTCAACGCAGGCACCCAGCATCCAGATATCGGACATTTGATATAGCAGTGTTGATCGGGAACTAGACAATGAAAGTTCTGATTTCAAATATTCTGCTTGAGAGCAACGTGTTACTTGTGCATCCTTGCAAAATCACCTGTTCCTTGTCACTAACCATCGAAGTACACTTATATATCCTATAGTAGATGTTTCATAAAGTGATGCCACCACTATCCGGCTCTTTGTCAGTTCTGCTTGTCTCAGATAGTCGACCAAGAACGTTAGAAAGATAGGTTCGCATATTAATTGTCCCCTTGGTACGAACACATAACACGTTGAGATGGCGTGTTTAGCACTGTCTGAAGTGTACGTGAATCGATAAGGACTGATTGACAGTGTCATCATCATGGTGCGCTAGTTGATAGGAGGAAATAGACTGGGAAAGCATACATTTCTGACCAAGTTGCATTCAGGTGAAAACTCATCAGGTTTCCTAACCAACAGGGAGTAACACTAAATTCGATACAATGCTACTGGTGATACATTAAATTCGTCTGGTTTGCAGTAGTGTAGTAGCGTGTGAGAGGAGACGAGCAAAGCAAATGCGAGAGATCCAAACAAGAAAAAAGATTTACACTATCGCTCAGCCAGCAATACGGAGTGTTCCTTTTGCACTGCACGATCGCGTCTGGAAGCCATCTTTCTCTCTTTCAACGCCTTCTCTACCTTTGAATAACGTTTATCGCCTTTTGTACGGTCCCGCCCCTTTGCCCTCTTTCCAATATCATCACCCCTTGATCCACCCTCCCGCGTAGACTGAAGCTTCTCCTGCGGACGATTTTTGGGCGGATGAGGGAAGATATCACCCCAGGACGATTTCCGCGCGTCATAGAATGGTTGTTTACCTTGGGATTTCGGGATAGTAATACGCATAATTTTGCCTGTATCATATGTTAGACCAGTCACGGGGCTAGAACTGAGGAATGGCGACAAACCTTCCGCGGTGCATGCGTCAATGATTATGTGCCCGCTCTTTTTCAAAGGTGGGAAGACGAGGCGCGGCCAATGAAATGCCTCATTTCGCAGCGCGGCTTCGACCTCCTCTGAGTTTTCAGCTGGCAAAATTTCCAGAGGAATATGATCAGTTGCTTCAGCTTCGTGCCTCGTTTCAACATGATCTGCGTCAAGTACAAGCTCCTTCGTTACCCTCTCTTCCTTTAGCCTGATCTGCTCTGCCTCCTCCCGACCGACAGCGCCAACGCGTCCTACACTGCTCACTTGCGTGGAGATGCCTTCGCCTACTATGCTTGGGCGTGGCCCGCGTTGAATTGCAATATAAGAGTATTCGATATCTTCGTGACCCTCACGTGCATGTTTTGTGAGACGAACAAAGGACGGACGTTGCAAGCGTTGTGAGAAGCCACAAACTAGGCTCACAGATTTTCCAGAGTATAGAGGGCAAGCACCATCGTGCGGGCACTATTGCAGGAAGACAAGAATCTTAGTATGACTCATCACAGGGTTGAAAAGTCCAACACCTACAGGAGCGACAACGTGGGCACCGCGAATAGGCCAGTCTGAGGTTTCTGGGTCATTGAGTTCTTTATGCCCCATCTCGAGGAGATATTCCCGTGCTTCTGCAATGTTCTGAAACCCAGCTTTCGTTTTGTGATCGATCAGAACCTATAATAATTTTAGACTATTAGACAGTGACTAAAGTGAAGGGACAAAAATGAAAGCTCACGATGGTATGTGCTCCACTTTCCCACAACTCTTTCACGAACTTCTTCCGCGCGAGAGGGGTCTGTAGAGTTGAAAGCATGAAAGCAGACAGGGCAAGAGTATCAAGCCCCTCCGATCGCTTAATTTTATCATCTTCACGGAAAGACCTTTGCCAAGTTGCGCTGAGGGCGCCCAAGTCCGTATCTGTTTCATTAATTTAGCGAGTGCGCAGCGAGATGCAGCACGCATACGTTACCTCTCAGTAGACGTTTACCTATTGCAACAAGTCCGTCACGTTTGTCGATACCGAGGTATGTGAAGATATTGGATGTGGAGAGGCGCGGTTCCTCGGAAGCGCTAGTGGGTTTCTGAAAAGTATTCGTCGATGCCCTGATGTTCTTCAGCATCTACAAGTTACAAACATCTACAACGTACCATAATCCGCTGCCTGCACCTGAGCCCCAGTCTATGACATGTTGCACATTCCATTGTGAACCTAATCTGTGCTTAACATGGTGGAGTACAGCACAGATGGCAGAATAATGTGCAGGGAGAACGACCGACGCGAACGCTGTCCCGTCACGGTCAGAGTGTCGCGCCCCTTGCTTACGAGAGCGGTATTTCACGTCGTACGAGTGATCCCATCCTTCACTCTCATGAAAAAAGAGACGTGTAGCATCGCTATGTAGCTGCACCTTGTCAGAAGCTGATAAGTGATTAGAATGTGCAGAGACTGATTTCACCCGACAAACCATCTATCAGAGCAGTAATTGACTTTTGCAATTCAGTGGGCATAACAACAGCACCAATTTTTTGGCTTCCAAACCGCGCTGCAGGAGATTTGCGGTGCTCGCTTCGTTCAGAGTGATCTTCAACAAAGTTCTCCGCGTCCTTGGCCTCCTCTGGGTATTCAATCGCGACAGGTTCAAGCTCGCGTGGTGGTCTCTTTGCCATTACGTGCTTATGGCTTGTCAAGGAGATGTCTATGTCTTGCAAAAGCGCCTTTAGCGTTGGGTCGAGGTCTAGAGCCGCGTTAGGTTGGGCTAATGCTGCAACTGCTGAGGTCGAGAATGGGGTGCCAATATGGCGAATACTGTGCGCAAGGATGCGCAAAGTAGTGGATGTACCTCGAAGCATCCTAGTAGTACTTGAAAAGTTGAGGTAGTCTCAGCTCAAAGAGCGCAAGTCAAAATTGTGCGATTATATAATGGAAGTGTTTAGTTAGGCTCATCTGCAGACTTTGCACAGACGCGTCCATCCCAATGACCAGCAGGAAACAAGCTATCCCAAATGATTCCCTTAGCTTTGATGAGCGTCCTGCGAAACGGACAAAAGTAGATGATGAACGCGAGGAGAGCACATCTTCCGCGGAGCCGCCACACGCCATGGCGGATATTACTGGGGCAGCACGAGTTTCAGAAGATGAAGACGAAGAAGGTTTAGAAGATGAGGTCGAACCAGGGCAGTCAAAAAGTGAACCTAGAGCCTCAGACCTTTACCTTGACACAGTGCGCCATTCAATGAAACCCATTGCGCACGTATTTGCTGACAAGACCTTTAGATCAATCGAGCATTGCTCGACTTTGACTTCGAGAAAGTGTGCTCTGTGTCTATGTCAAACATCAACACATACGGCTGTCTAGTCTGTGGAAAGTACTTCCAAGGACGAGGTCGCAAGTCGTACGCCTATGCGCACTCCATTCATGATGACCACCATGTTTTTATCAACCTTGAGACAACAAAAGTGAGCTGAATGTTAATCACACATACATAGACTTACGACACATAGGTATACGTTCTTCCAGATGGTTATCTTGTCTCTGACCCATCTCTCGAAGACATATCGTTTGTCCTCAACCCATCCTTCACGAAGGTTTCCATATCCACCCTCTCCTCGCCATCGCATCTTCTGAAACCCTCCTACGACCTCTCGTCAAAGCCCTATCTTTCTGGTTATATTGGCCTAAACAATATCAAGCGAAATGACCACATGAACGTTATCATACATTCCCTCCTCCACATCCCTCCTCTACGGGACTACCTCCTTCTGTCCTCCTTTCGTGGCAAGGAAACCGAACTCGTTAAACGATTCGCCGCTCTCGCCAAGAAGATATGGAACCCCCGGCTATTCAAAAGCCAGGTTAGCCCTCACGAGTTTCTC